TAGGGTGATCTGCAAAATTTAGCCAATCAGATTTTTTAGCTTCAACATCAGCCAAACTTCAGCATCAGCCGTAACACCTAATACCGAAATACTACGCCATGTATAACACAAACTCACAGCAATAGTCTTTTGTAAGTTCGTTGTTGGGTATCTTGTATTAGACCCGATCTTTTAGTTAACATACTACGTACAGTACGATATTTGATTTTTTTGAAAGTTTCGATTCTAGCCTTTTCTCTGCTGTTTATATACATGCATATAAAAATATTTTAAATATTTCATAAATTCACGTCCCAATTTCACAAAGCTAAACAAGTAATTTAATAAATTTCAATCATAAAATATTAAAATATTACTATGCATCAACAAGGTTAGCGTAGCAGAAAATAATATATGTTTACTATATGTGAAACAGCCAAATTATTCAAATACGAACACGAAACTCTAACCGCAACCTTATAAAAAAAGTCGATCCGTGTTTTATGCATATTCACGGAATTTATAACCTTGTTTAGATTTTGCCGATTATGTGGTAGATTCACGGAGTTTTCACAAAAAATATGAAAAATAACGGAAATATTCGGAAAAAAATGTTTACAGGGTAATAATCATATTACAAAACCCTGGTTCTAGTGTCATAATAAAAGCACCAGTTTTATAAATGAATATGAAGCAAATTCGCTCATAAAATAAGATTAAACTCTTTGTGATACGAAAATTTCTAGATCAATAGATGTCATCTTTGCCTTGCTCTTGTGCGCGTGCGTACGTTCCTCAGCTTAAGGCATGACCGAAAGGAAATTTCTTCCCGATCTTTATTAATGGAAAGAGGCTACAATATCGTTGTTGGGATATAATTATATCCATTCTTTAGCATTGTAAGTCTTTTATTTCGAAGTTTAAGAGATAGTTAATAATGAATAAGGATTGGAACCGTTTAACCGTTTAAAAATTGTCCATAGTTCCGGGCCGGTCGTTAGCGGTTAGCACGGTTAAACGGTTAAACGATTAAAAAAATTTAGACGGCTCCAATCCTTACGGGCGATAATAATAATTACGGTTTGCAAAAAAAAAAAAAAAAAAATAGTCACGAGATTAAATTATATTCAGTTATATTTTTAACAAAACTTACATAAAAAACGTGAAATGTCGATCGAATAATAACTAACCAATTAAAATGCAATCAAAAGTTAATAAATTTTTACTTAAATTCCATCAAATATCGACATTATCATTCATAAAAGGTCTTAACATGGCTAGTAATGCAGGCAATTATTTCTATTCAATATTTATTTCTTAGATAATTTATTTCACTTTTAAGTAAAAAAAAAAAAATTTTTTTCACAATATGGCGAAGACGTTCAAGCAAAATTACGTGGCTTGGTAGACATGCTACTTGGATACTTGAAAGATATTAAAAACCCACCAGTTTTACAAAATTCTCCAAATTTTGATGGCACTATAATTAAGAATGAACTTGGTTTGTTTATTATAGTTTCAGGTTTTTGTTATCATCACAACATTGCAGTTGATTTATAAATAAATTCATCCAGGAAAATTGGGTTTGATTTTAGCTAACGATGCTACAAAGGTATCATGTTATATCATCAATGAATCATGAATTACAAGCAATAAAATTATCTCACATCTAACTTTGATAAAGATGACCCTTGCATGTAAACCTCCTTGTACTCCTTCAGCGGCAATACCTACAATCAATGCGATAAGCGAGACTTTATTTCTCATTTCTGGTCATGCCGCATCTGTGCCACTATCTGCAGGAAAAACGTTTGCTAATGAAATAAAATCCACAACTGGAGATATTATTTATGCTTCAGCTGCTTTGGCAAATTCATTTCTGGATTCTCCTGTAGATATGAATACAGCGAATTATGGTCACCTTATATCAACTGGAATTTTATGGAATGCCTGTGATTTATTTCAACAATTACCTTCAAAAAATTCCGCTGCAGTATCACAAAAATGGAAAGGAATTTTGGCATTGTTAGAAGATGCTATTTGTGAAATTGTTGATCTAATTTCTGAAAATAATCAAAATGCGAATGATGATATTGATGACGGATGGGATGAGATTCTTGGAAATTCGACAGCTGCAAGTTCAACTCTTTCCACAACTGAGAAAGAGATGGGGAACTTATGTTTAGATTTAATAAAAATTGTTCAATTACTTTTTAAGAAAATTCTTCACCGGTGCATTGATCCTTTAAATACATCAGATAAGTTGAATGTCAAAAATATCGATAGCTCTCAACAAGATAGTATAAACGAAACATTGGATCAATTAGTGCATTTAGGTAATTCAGTTATAGATTGTACTGATGAATTAGGCACCAGCCTCTATTCACCACATAATATGGAAATAATCATATTTCATGCCAATGATCTTAAATCATATTCCCAAGAATTAATTAGGCTGGCTATGCTTTTGACAACTGGAAGTCACAAAGAATGGTTTGTTCTTTGCGATGGTCAACTTGCAAAGAAATTTCAAATCATTACAGATAAAAGTGGATCATGATTTTGTATTGTAATCTTGTGTTTATAGTATTATAGTAGATCTAAATTATAATATTTTTATAGATAGGTTCACTTTTGCACTACCCTTCAATATAAAATATCATTTTAAGAAGCTGTTTTTTTTTTACAATATTAGTAAAGAATCTATTATATGTATTTAGCTATAATTTTTAGTTTATTGATATTTGTAAAAAGATATTTATTTATATGATTTTTAATTTAGCAAAGACAAAAAATTAAAGATTATATAATTAATTTTTTTTTTTAATTTTGTTTGAAGGAACGCTTTGCCAAGTTTTACTGTATACACTAGTTTTAGTATCGTTGATGTTACTATTATGCTTGAAGTTAATAGCTGGTTAAAGTTGTATCTAACTAAAATTAGTCTCTAAAACTACCGTAAATGGCCGGACAAAATACCCGGGTTTCTTACATTCCACCGATTTTAAAACCTATAATAGACCCCAGGTATAGTACATGGTTGAGAGTGTATATTATTAAAAGGAGAATTTTAAAGAGCACGCGTATTTTTCATTTCTAACTGGCAGTTTGGATATTTGGAAAAACTATATTTTATTAATGCAGATTCCATAATTCGCATCCGGTATATAGTACGTAGTGGATCTAATGTTGTGGGGGATCTTTTATCCGGCCATTTACGGTGGATTTTTTTTTGTATAAATTGTTTTTACTTTAGCAGTCTTGCCAATATTTTTTATTAAGATAATTGTATAACAAATATACAAATTTAAACTTAATGTTCTAGCTTCAACGCCTTATACGTAGCTGTTTTTATTATAAGTAATATGCTGCACTGGCCAATTACTACGTAGTAAAAAACTAGGAAGCTATATCAGACTACTACTTACAATTATATAGATTGTTATTAAAATATTACCAGCATATAATATACTGTAGTGCATATACTAATTAATATAGAAACCATGTTGTTTTGTTTAGTATCATTTTTGTGATATATCTTCGTTGGTGCTTTTGTTGTCAAATTTTTTGTTATTATTTGATAATACTTTTTATAATTATTTAGTAGTACTTTTAATTATTGTTATTATTTAATAGTACTTTTGTTAATGGCTGGTGTTTTTAATTGTTATTTACTAGTTTTAATTATTACCTATTTGTTAATGCGTTTGTTTATGGTTTAATAATATTTTTGATTATTTACTATATAATTTTTTTGATTATTATTATTGTAACTAATGCTTTTGGTTATAGTTTGGTAATATTTTTGCTAATAATTTTTGATTAATATTATTATTATTGTTTAAATTTAAACAATTATACTAATACTTTATTGGAATTTTTAGTTTTATAGTATATAATTATATATATTTAACCAATTATATCTAATCTAAATCTAGTATCTAGATACAAATACTTGTATTACTTTATAATACTGTAACTGTGGCCAATACTTGTAGCCAAATATATTATTAAATATTATATTTAATTAAGCATCAAAGCAAACATGTTTAAGAACTTTTTAACAAATATTTATAGAGAATTGCTATTTTCATCATAAGTTATACAAAAAATATAAAAAATTCTATTTTTAATAATCAATCAAATTTAGTTTTACTTATCAACTTTCTTTAACGATCACTTGTACCAACCAGTACCCAAAAGCAAGTAGAAGACTCAAGATCAGAAGTGAACAAATAACTTGTAGTTTTTTTAATACAAACTGTTGTTGACAAAGTTTTTAATGTGATACACTGAGGAGCAGGCATTTTGGATAGTTTGCAAAGAGATCAAACTCTCTCTTCTCTTGGGTAGACTCCTTTTTGCATTTGGCATCCAAATCAGAGGAGTCTCTGGGAACAGTAAGTAAAAAAAAAACTCAAGTTATGTTGGGAACTGAAGGTTATGAAGAACTCTTGGAACAACTTTCTTTGGTTAGAAAACTCATGAAACTATATTTTTCTCTCACCGCTTTTTTTTTTTTATAATTTTTGTCAAAAAGTGGGGGATTTGGCTACTCCCTTCCAAAAGATCAGCATTGTTTACCACTTCTATTTTTGAAAAGTCTTGAGTTATGATATGATAGATAAAGAACACAACAATCACATATAAAAAGAAAGCTTTGTTTAGGTTAAATCGAAATATGTAAAGTTCTATGTTCAATAAATTTTGACTATACAGAAATAAAGGTTTTATGTAATAAATCTAAGGAAGTAGCTTCCAATGATATCAATTGACTATAGAGAAGATCCTCTGTTTAATCTTATATAGTGAAGAAGCAAGATTTGAAGAAGAACTATAAGAGAATTTTGTAATTTAAAAAGAGTAGCCTATTATAAACAGAGCTAATGATCATATATTAAGACTTTAAAATTAGTGTTCTAGAATTCAAAATAGATTTAATCAAGAGTTACAAGTTAGAGCAATATATTAGAGATATGCAATATTCTAAAGTTATATGCATATATTTTTAGCTCTTAGCACAGGTTAAAGTGCATTTTAGTTTCTAGTTTCTTTTTGTCAAATAGCTCTATATATAGATTTTTACAACCATGTAGATAGTTTTTACCTGACTAGTAGGTTTTTATATCTGTAGACAAGTTCTTTTAGATTTTAGGATAGTCTTTTTAATTCCTTTATATTTTGGTCATTTTCTTATATATTTCTTTTTTATTTTCCCTATTTTCATTTTATCCTCACTCTTTTTTTTTCTTTTTTTACTTTTCTACAGAATATATTATCAGATTGGTAGCACTCTATTATAGAGTGATGATTCTGACAAGGTCAGTGCTTCTATCTGTTGATATCCAAGATTTATATTCTTAGTAAGTTGAAGATTCTGAAAGGAGAAAAATTGTCATTTAGGCAGGTTACTTCTAGATCATACTCTAGTGTAAAATTCTTGGCTTTGGCTGTGGTTTTATTATGATAATGAGACAGATCAAGAGAATCTTTATTTGGACAGAAATATAGTAGTCTAGCAATTTGCATATAGATTTAGCTAACTAAATGCAGTTTGTAATCTACTTCTAATTTATAAAATAAAGATAGAATCATTAAAGTAAAAAAAATAATCAATTAAATTTAAAATTAATTTTTTAAAATTAAAAAAGTTTTTATTAAATTAGAGTTTGTTGGGCTTCTAAATAAAATTATAAAAAAGAATTTCCTGGTTTTAATAATAGATTATTAAAATTAGCTTGGTAAATTTCAAGATATTTGGAATTAAAGGTATAAATATAAGAATCTACAAATTTAATTGATAATCTATGAGTCACCTGAAAAAAATGATCTGCAATCACTAAGTAAATATAATACAAATTAATTAATAAAAATCCTATTTAGAAATATGAAAATTTTTTAATATACGTATATATGCGTACGATTCAAAATCGTTAAATTAACCTACTCGAGTTTAAAACCCACCTATTAGTATAGATTTCACTCACGAATTAAAACTAATCTACTTGCTAGTACCTGTTAGTTTAAAACTCACCTTCTGGTATTAGTTTAAAACCTACTAGTTTAAATGGTTATCGCTCAATTCCCTGAAAGCTATTAATCTGCAAACTTATTTATTCAATACCGTAATGCCGATATGCTATTTCATTTGCAACACATTTTTTCGACAAAACATATATTCGACATTATATATTTTCAATAACCCTTTTCTTAGACAGGACATTTCTCTGACATGGCTCGATTTAACTTTAAAGTTGTTTGATTTAAAGCTAATGTTGGTTAGAATTATATGTTGAAGAAATAATTGTCGGGGAAATATCTTGTCTAAGAAAAGGATTGTTAAAAATATGTAATGCCAAATATATATCTTATCGAAAAAATATACAATAGCATGTTGGCATTATGGTATCGGGAATCGTGCTATAACCGTTTAGACACCTAATTAGTTTAGAACCTACCCACTAAATGTATAAATTAAAAAAAAAATACACACAAATGCCATACAAGACAAACCTATAAGTAAATATTTAAGCCTAAGAGAATTGTAATATTATATTATATAAGTAAATAGAAATATAACGTAAACAATCTGAACAATAATGTAATATTATAAGATTAAATATTTACAAATTTACCTTGTGCTGCATTTATATAAATACTTACAGGTTGTAGTATCATCTGGTTTGTAAGATTTTTCTTTTTGAATCTTTTTTTTTTGAAATTAATGCTTTTTTTTCTTTTTAGGTCACTTTGTCGTTTTATTGAAGCGCTATTTGTGACAAATTGTTTATTAGCAAATATAATCTTTTTTTTTGTTTTTATTGAAAATTTTTTTATTAACTTTTCTCTCTTGTAGGTTTGATTGATTAATGAAATTGGTACCTGGAATCTAAAGTCTAAATGCTTCATGACTATTTTCAGCAGAAGTTATATGGCACGCTAGTGAACCATCCACTGTTGGATGTTACTAAAGTAGAGTTAAAATGGATGAACATAAGATATTCACTTATTATTATCAAAAACTGCAGAGATATGCACGCTAATAAAATGTATAATGTTAGAAAAGGGTAAACACAAAGCAATCACTTATGATCAAAAATCAGCAGAGATGGGACATGCCAGTGGAACAATAATACTAGATATTGTCAGAATTAGAGTTGAAAAGAGTGAATACAAGACAATTGTTTATCATTAAAAATTAGCAGAGGTGGGGCATGCTAGTGGTATATAATATTGGATAATATTATAATTAAGAAATTGGTATTGAAAAGAATAAGCATAAGCATTAGTTTATTACTAATAATTACTAACAATTTGCATAAATAGGGCACGCTAATGAACATGTAATGTTGGATATTGTTATGAAAAAAGAATTGGAGTTAAAAAGGATAAACATAAAGCAATTACTTATTATCAAAAATCAGCAAAGATGTGGTACGTTGCGGAACATATAACGTTAGATAATATTATGATAAAGAAATTGGAGTTGAGAAGGATGAATATAAGACATTGATTATTACCAAAAAGTTGCAGAAATAAGGCACGTTGGTGGAATATATA